TACCAGGTTGACTGTTGAAATATGAACTCGACTGGGCACATTGAACTTCCTAAAAATATATAATAATTTCATAGAACCCTTGCGAAAATATTTTAAATAGATTTAAAAAAGCCACCGCTACTGGTAACATCTATGGTTAGATTGATTTGTTTAGATCCAGTGAAGTCGTTCATAGGCGCGTAATTTGCGGGTATCTCCAGTTAACTAGCAGAGCATTCATTTAGTTCGCTATTAAATAAGAGACCTGTTGTTTTTGAAATCAAACTGAGCGCTCGTGTCCGCTGCAATCAGTGTCATGGATATACAGTGTTCTCTGTGGCTCGCGCAGTCTTCTCTCAGACGCGCACTTCAATCTATCGCCGTTGTGGAGACTCCGATGAAATCACAAAATAAAATGCACACAAACGTGATGAACATATTCGGTTTTGATGAGAGAGAGAAAAAACTATACGAGTACGGTTTAGAACCCGTAACCTCTGACACGCTTGGCAAAAGATCTACAGAACTCGATCTGCTGATCGATGCATTTATTTACGGGTTGAGCAGAGTGGCTGCACAGTTTGACCAGCGGGCGGCAAGAACTTGCAATAACTATTTATCAGACCGGCCCTCGCAGCCTCGAAACCATAGAAACACTACCGGACCACCGGTAAAAGTCCTGACTCACCCGATTGCCACTCCGCCCCTGCACGCCATTAAAAATATAGCCTATATATATGAATCGATTTTTGGAATTCTATGAATCAATTCTGAATCGGTAAAGATTGAATCGCGATTCAAATGTGAATCGATTTTTTTGCACACTCCTAATATATATATATATATATATATATATATATATATCAAAAACAAAAAAGATTGGCAAGTGAACAGGTTCATCAGTGTTTGTACCCCTGCCCTCATTACATGGGTATTATGGGTGGGGACACACACAAGATGTGTGTTTATTGTTTGGGAGCGCAACACGCCAAGGGTGTGCAGCCACTGTGAAGCACTACCCATCAGAGTGATGCGCTCCCGCCTGGCTATATTTGATGAAGCCGGCCAGGCTTGTGATAGGGCATTCCTTCTTGATGCTCGTTTCTACGACTGGCTTGTTCGGCGCATGGTTAATACATCATCGACAAGTTCCAGGAAGCAAAGGAACAGAGCGCAGCTTTCAGACAATATATCCCTCACCGCTTGAGGTCTAGTAAGTCTGCAACCGGTGGGTAGCCTCAGCCGTCATAAAGCTCCTCATACAGGCAGGGCCAAAAGGAAAATGTCGTCTCTAGAGCTCAGGGCATCCGTGTGCTAAACTACATCGACGACTGACTCATTCTGGCCAAGTCTCGAGATCTGGCAGTTCGGCATTGTGATATCATCCTTGGCCATATTCAGAACTTGGGGTTGAACCACGTTCTTGGGAGTGGTGTGGGACTCGGTGATGATGTGAGCACAGTTGTCTCCTGCACAGGTTGAGTCCATCCTGGCAACAGTGACCAGGAAAAAGCTAGGCCAAGCCATTACTGTGAAACATTTTCAGAGAGTGTTAGGGCTCATGACAGCAGCGTTCAGCGTGATACCCTCCAGCCTGCTGCACATGAGGGCCCTACAGTGGTGGTTGAAAACCAAGGGGTTTTTACCGAGGGTAAATCCACTCTACATAATACATGTTATGTGCAGATGCCTTCATTCCCAATTAATGTGGAAGAAACCTTGTTTTCTATCACAAGGGCCTGTGTTGGGAGTGTCATGTCGCCAGATAGCTGTTTCGACAGACGCATCCCTTTGCTGTCACGGACGGCCGCTTTACAAGAGGTACTCCTCCTTGCACATAAACTGGCTAGAGATGTTGTCGGTCTTCCGCGCTCTGAGGAGCTTCCTCCCAGACCTCAAAAGTCACCACGTTCTTGTGAGAACAACATGTCCGTGGTGTCCTATTTAAACCATCAATGGGGGTCTGAGATCACGCCCTCTATGGAGACTGGCGTCCCATGGGACTAGAACCTAAAAGCATCCTGTTGAGGCAGGGGCTGAGGCCCGGGGAATTGTGACTTCACCCCAACATGGTGGAGTTGATATGAGAGGTTCGACCCAGTGGAAGTGGATCTGTTTGCGTCTCGAGAGACAACACACTGTCCACTATGGTTCTCCCTCACACATCCAGCCTCGCTGGAGTTCCCATCAGAAGGGACCTGCTGACACAGGCAAGGGGCTCAATATTCCACCTTCGCCTAGAGCTCTGGAAGCTTTGGGTCTGGCCCCTGAGGGGGCACAGTACCTAGAGGCTTGTCAGCTGGAGTAGTAGAGACCATACTCTGCTCAAGAGCTTCCTCCATGAGGAAATTGTACGGCCTAAAATGGAATGTTTTCACCGTTTGGTGTAGAGAGCATGAGATAGACCCAATTAACTGCCAGATGGCTTCAGTGCTGGAGTTCCTCCAAGATCGCTTCTCTGCTGGTCTTACTCCATTCACACTAATGGTGTATGTGTCTGCTATTGCGGCTTTTCACACCCTGAATGATGGGCCTCTGTGAAGACATCAGCTGGTCGTACGTTTTCTCTGTGGGGCTTGGAGGATGAGACCTGCAACTCGGACCAGCGTTCCCACATGGGACTTGGCAGTGATTCTCGAAGTTTGAGGCCCCCTTCGAACCACTGGAGTTGGCTGAGGCTAAGAACCTATCGCTTAAGGTAGTCTTTCTCCTTGCCATTACTTCTCTATCCAGGTGCTCTCCATATCTCCTCAGTGCCTGGAGTTTGCTCCAAGGAGAGTTAAGGCCATCTTACACCCTAGACCAGGCTAGGTCCCGAAGGCGAGGTTGATGGTTCTACAGGCATTTGACATATATGTTCAGAGGTCTTCTCAGTGGAGAAAGGCGGACCAGTTGCTGGTGTGTCTCTAGAGCCCTCCTTTCAGGGGTACCAATACATGAGATATGTGATGCGGCTGGCTGGGCCACTCCACACATAGTCTGGACCTCCCTTTGACACCTGGTACACGAGTGCTCTTGCCCTAGTTGTGGCTGAGACAGTTGTGCCCTAGTTACAGCTACTAGAATAGGAAGGTATCATTGTGGCATAGTGGGTACTCATTCCCCAATGTGTCATAATGACGCAGTTTGAGTACCCTCAAATGGAACGTCTCGGGTTACAACTGTAACCCTTGTTCCATGAGAAAGGGAATGAGAACTGCATCTCTCCGCCACTCCTCCTGCTGCCTGAGAGTTAATTGCTTCATTGTGAAGCTAATGCTGTTGTGTGACGGCTTCCCTTTGTAGCTTCCGGCTGTGCTGTCACACTCTATGTTTTCAAGCAAGAAAAATAGAATTGGACTAGTTTCATTCATACTCCAGATGCATTACACTAAGAAGTGATCATATCACTAAGAAGTGTCATATCAATGTAGTTCTCGTTCCCTTTCTCAGGGAACAAGGGTTAAAGTCATAACCCAAGGTGTTTTTTTAACTCCTGTCTAAAGACTTTAAATACACATTAAATACAGAACCAGACCCAGCTAAACAAACATGCGGCTTCTGAAGACAAATAAGCTGACCATATGCATTTTTGGCATCTTCTTCAGACACCGGCTCACACCGGAGCATTCTCTTATAGTTAACGCCATGACACAGCATCAGAGTTCAACTTTGAAAGGTAACATACTTTATCTAGACATGTAATCATGTCTTCTAGACCCAAATTGTAAGACACTGTAAGGTCAATAAATATATTTTTGGTGGTAATCTAAAATGTAGTGCTGGGTAACGATTAATCACATCCAAAATAAAAGTTTGTGTTTACATAATATATGTGTGTATAGTGTGTATAATTATTTTGACTACATAAATACACATATATGCATGTATATATTTAAGAAAAACATTCATATTTATTCTGTGTATAATATAAATTATGTAAAAAAAAAAATATATATATATATATATACAGTATAATATTTTTTAATACATACATGGATATGTGTGTATTTATATTGACAAACTAATTTTACACAGTACACACACATATATTATGTATATACAGGGTGCGATTTGTGGATAAAAAAAACAACAGAGGGGGGGAGGGGATGTTTTGAAACATATTTATTCATAAAAATAAATCATCAGAACATGAACTTGCATTTGCAGGAATTGTAAAATATTTTTTCTTATTAACTCATGAAGCCCAACACAATATTTTTACTCTGATAGCTTATCTTTCCCCACAAATATGAACTGTGATCATGCACAACGAAAAAACATGCTACTAATAAATGAAGGAAGTATATCAACCTCTGCTGAACACTGATTGATCGCAAAGTTAAACCATCAGTAGATTTTTCTGTGGTAGTCAATTCGCCTCATTCACGGATCTACCACGCTAAAAGCCTCAATTGCGCCGCAGGACATCTAGATGCGCGTAAACGCGTCTTTACATTGACTTAACATTGAAATCACTCGTGCCAGATGCTCAATAGTCAGCGAGTAATCAAAAAACCTTTGCTTTAGCCTCAATTGAGTGTAACACCATATGTGTGACTTCGGCCATTCTCAGTGTTTTGACTGGGACACTAACTTTGCTTGTCCTCATAGAAACAGATAATCAGATTGTGAGGTTGATTCCGCTTCAGTATTATGCTGCATATGCTGCCGTCCTTTTGACACACAGCTATACTCGTGAGGTGTAGCACCGTGGATGTGACATTGAGTTGAATGGTTATTACAGAGAGGCTGCGGCAGCTATAGTAGAGCCAGCCAAAGTAGCACATTTTAAAACAAAATTTACATTAATGAAACCACGGACCCATGATAAGTTTTGTGATCCGTCTCGCCGCTAGTGTAGTAGCACTGATCACTGATCACTAAGCACCCCCCGCCCAGGCAAATCGCACCCTGTGTATATATCACATATATAAAATAATCACGATTAATCGTTGCCCAGCACTATGCAAATAATGTAAATAAATTACAAATACAGTGACACACACATCACTAGCACACATACAGTAGCTGATACTTACTTTGCAGTTTTTTACTAGGACTGTCTCCATGAACATGTCTGCGGGGGAGGCAGGGGGATGGCTGAGGCAATGGGAGGGATGACACATCATGGGATTGCAATTTGTACCAGTGAGGCTGGTCATCCAATAGAGCTGTTTCCAGCTCAATCAAAATCTGGGCAAAGAGAAAGACAGGAATAGGAATTTGAACCATGTTAGAATAACTATTAGGAGGCCAAAAGGTACTGTGGAGTCCAGGGAATTGAACACATTACTTCACAAATGCACTTTTCATTGAATTCACTTCTGAAATGAATCTATACAAATCTATTATATGTTGTTCCGAACCTACATATAGATACATAGATATCTTACTGTCAAGACAAAATAATTGAAGCACACACACCTCTCCCATGAATTCGCTCTCTTCTTCCTGGACTCTGGGCTGGTCCCAAACAGTGATCTCCAACATGCGCTCTCTGAAGTCTCTCCGGTGGATGTGAGAATATAGGAACGTTTGGTTCCATTTTGGCTCTGCACTCTTCTTCACTGTTTTCGTCCTTCTCTTACTCTTGTCACTAGAGGAATGTAGTGTGTTAAAAAGAGTGTGTACACTGCAAAACTTTGCTAATTTCTCCCAAAAATCAGCAAAGAAATAGCAGATTCCATTTCAACCTGCTTATTATTCAATCTATTAACATGGAATGAATTTCATAAACTGTTGGGCATTACCCCAAATGAAAAATGCAAGTGACGTCTACCAGTACAAAGCTGATATATCATGTAAGAAAGAAAATAAAAAACAAAACAAAACCATTCCAAATAGCTAAACATTTAAAATAATAAAATATTTCTGAGACCACCTACAATATCTATGATACCGTTCAAAATCTACAGATGGTAAGATTTCTTTGGTGATTTTGAAAGAAGTCTCTTATGCTCATACTGACCTTTATCTTTGATAAAATCTTTTAATCAAAAATAGAGTGAACTGTATGTGAAATATAATTACAATATAAAATGATGCATATTTTCCTGTGATTCAGCAAAGTAGAATTTTCAACAGCAATTGCTCCAGTCTTCAGAATGCTGATGTGGTACTGTACTTAGGAAACATTTCTAATTATCATTGTTGAAAATAGATGTGCTGCTTAATAATGTTGTGGATTATTATGATGAATAGACAGTTAAAAAGAATAGCACTTATTTAAATATGTATTTTTTAAATACATATAAATATGTATTTTTAAAATTTAAAAGCGTTTTTGGTGAATAAAAGTATAATAATATATTATATATTAATATATAATATATTATATAAAAATATAATAAATGAACAAAGAAACAAACAAATGGTACTGACCTGAAAAAAAACCCTTAAAAACACTGTAAATTTGAATATATTTGACAATTTTTACCTTCTATCAGGAAGAAAATACATTTTGACATAGGGATTTCTGGGTCGTCCGTCAGGTCGAGGGGGCAGTTCTCGTGCTTGCAGGACATTCACAATAAGCTGATGGCCCACTTTATCATACCATAATTTCACCTTTGTAAAAAGAAACATCACTTCATCAAAGTAAGGGTATACATTGTTTAAATATGAGCTAACAGATAATGTCATCACCAAACTACCTTCATTTTCAGTTGAGAAAACAGGGCTAAATATATTCTCGCAAAGTGGTTTCACACTTACTGACAGCTGGCCTGGCAGTACTAGAGGGAGGTCTCTCAACATCCCGGGACTAGTCGGTGACATTACAGAGATGGATGGATGGTCCGTCTTTTGTGATTCATCTATAGAACTCGAACCAGCTGTAAGTTTAAATAGCCGACATGTTTAATGTGCAGCTGTAAAGATGTATTGCAAGCTTATTGGAGAAATGTTTTAATAACAAGGACAAAATAGGAAAGTGATAATTCATACAAACACTGTATGTAAATTTTCTTATCATTTACACACCCTAATGGAGTTTAGATTTAGACACACCAAGAATTTTAAATAGATTTCTTTTAGTTGTAGTTTTGTCCTGTCATTCAGATTATTATTTTTTTAACTATTAAGTCAGTTTTACTCTTACTAAAATTATATCTAAATTCATTCTATAAAAAATAACATTTTAGCTTACAAAAGTGTGAAATTAAATAAAATATCCCCAAAAAATGATAGATTATTGATTTAAAAATGAATGAACATGTAATCGTAAATTCTGAAAAAATAAACATAACAAGAAGTACACTTATGAATAAAAAAATATTGCAAATTCTTTAAGGTTTATTATTCATTGTTAGTATATTAACAATTTTTTTTTTAATGTGATGACCAAAAAAAATTGTTAATGACTATTTTAACAAGTAATTTGTGATTCTCTTATTGGTAGGTCACTCTCAACGTACGCCATGACCGACTGATGGGAATCTCGCTAGAGAGGTATCTGATACCAGCCGATCGCCTTCCAGGACTACTTACCTTGAGGCGTAAACGACCGGATGCCCATGCTCGACGCGGGATCCGCGTCTTTAGCTAGTGCTGCGAAGCAGGCCTAAACAAAGCACCGCTGAGGCTGAAGCCATGAGGCCTAGAATCCTCTGAAATCTTTTAAGAGGAGACATCGCCTGCTTTGAATGACATCGCCAAGCGCTGAATACACAGAGCACGCTGTGACATCAGCCGTGCTTTCATTGACACAGAGTTCAGATCCATTCCCAGAATAGAAGCTTTCTGAATGGGAGAGAGCGAAATCTTGGTCCAATTGATTTTAAGGCCCAGAGCCCCCAAATGGCTTAATAATAAAGCCCGGGGTGTCATAAGTTCCACCTCCGACTGGGCCATTATCAGCCAGTTGTCCAAATAGTTCAGTATTCGCATACCCTGTTGTTTCAGGGGGGCGAGCGCTGTGTCCATGCACCTCGTAATGTACAACCATGGGTTGTTCGAGCAAACTGCAGTGAGTAGCCTTATTTTATAATCTTCAGCACCCAATCTGACACACCCGTGATAGCTTCCCATGCTTTTGCACGTATAGCTAGATCATGGAACACATTGCTGACGCTGAGAAGAAGCTGGCAGTGGAGGAGGCTGTTTTCCGTGCAGGCTGCTGTTTCCTAGAGCGTCCTGACGTGGAACTCGAGCGTTCGAGGGATTAAGTGTTAGGGTTAGGGTTAGACCCTGCGACATTGGCAAAGGGGCGGGGTCCCTGTGCCTCTGCGTTGATCCAACCCTACCTAGAGGGTTTTTTTGGGCAGTGACACGGGAGACCTGAGGGTCATGGTGAGCGCGCTTCCTTTGTGGAACCAACCCTCTAGGAACCCCCATACCTCTCATTCTCTACAGCCAGTTGAGTCACCAAAAGAACGTGCTGCGAAGGTCACCACGCAGTCAGTAGGTCATGCGGGTCTATCGCCTGCAGGCAGCAGTGTGCGGTTCCTGCACCTCCTGCCCCGTGGAACCAGGTAAGTGTTGCACAGCACACTCACACTCCACTGCGGTCTGCCTCCCAGAAAGAGCTTCCCGAGCTGAGTCTCTGTGTTCCACCTCATGAACCCACTCCGGGTATGCCTACGGTCCCTTCGGTCCCGATTGTATGGTCTCTGGACCATCAGACTCAGCTATATGATTCAGTTCGCTTGGTCTCCCCCCAGGTTTCGGGCCATCCACTCCACTACAGTGAAAGCAGCTGATGCCCATGTCTTGCACGCGGAGATCGCACTCCTACAGGCGAAGGACGCTATAGAGCCGGTCCCTCCAGGCAATGTGAGGTCAGGGCACTACAGTCCGTACCTCATTGTAAATAATAAAGGTGGTGAATTACGACCAATCTTGGATTTGTGAGTTTTGAATCAGAGCCTCCACAAGCTAACGTTCAAAATGCTCACGCAGAGACACAATCTCGGTCCCACTGAAATTACGGCAGCAGCAGCGGTAACCCCACTCGGGTTGCTTCTTGTGAGACCCGAGATGGGTGTGGCATTATGGCACTCACCGGGTGGCAATCATGTCGCCATGCCACCAGACTCTCAGCCCGTGGTCAGATCCCTCGTTCCTGCAGGCAGGTGTCCCCTTGGAACAGGTGTTCAGACATGCTCTGGTATTCACAGATGCCTCTGCCACTGGCTGGGGTGCCACGTACAACAATTGTGCAGTGTCAGGTGTGTGGACAACCCCCAACTCCATTGGCAAATCAACTGCCTTGAGTTGCAAGCAGTACGTCTCACTCTGAGCTGCTTGAAATGGCCTCTACAGGGCAGTACTTGGTGGTCCATACAGACAACACTGTGACCGCATGTTGCAACTCGCCCGTCATCTCCTTCTCTGGAGTCAGAAGCATCTGAGGTCGCTTTGATCCATGTATGTCCACAATGTGCTCAACTGTGTGGCCGATAGAGATCTGGAGAGAGTTCGGGGAGGCTCAGGTAGACCTGTTTGCATCCTCAGAGAACACTCTCTCTGCAAATATGCGTTTCCCAAGTCAAGCTACTTGCACAGACCTTGAGGACGAGGAGCAGGTCCTTCTGGTGGCTCCCTATTGGCCCACCCGGATTTGGTTCCCAGAATTCATGCTCCCTGTGACAGTCCCTCCCGGGCCCATTCCTCTGAGGATGGATCTTCTGACTCAGAGACCTCCTGAAAACTCCATGTCTGGTCCCTTGACGGGATCTGGAGGTTCTAGGTGACTTACCCCCAGAGGTACTTAACACCATCACTTCAGCAGAGGCTGAGACGTGTGTACGCCTTGAAGTGGAACCAGTTCGTCGAGTGGTGATCTTCTCACCAAGAGGACCCCCTAAGATATTTAATAGAATCTGTGCTTTCCTTCTCATAGCAAGGGTTGGAGCGAAGGCTGTCTCCCTCCACCCACAAAGTATATGCTGCCACTATTTGAGCTTATCACGACCGCATAGATGGCAACAGTTGGAAAACACGACCTGGTCGTCAGGTTCCTTTGGGGGTCGAGATGATTAAATCCTCGTCGACCTCCCTCCATACCCTCTTACGACCTTTCCCTGGTGCCTCGAACACTTCAGGACGAAGGTTGTGTAAGCACTCTCCTATCAACCTTCCAGACAAGAAGGTGTAGAGGCTTGGATGGGGTGCAGCAGCTGTGTTCCTATCAGTTGGTCACAACGTACGTCGAGAGTGACCGACCGATAAGGGAACGTCTCGGTTACATTTGGTAATCTTCGTTCCCTGAGGGAGGGAACGGAGACATACATCTGCTGCTGCCTATCGGGTGCAGTCACACCAGCTGCTCATTAAATACCCACACTGCAAGGCTGTACAGCTGATGCAAATGATTGCATGCCAATGTGCATTGGCTTGTTTAGTTTCACTCAATATGTAAACTGTAATATGTAATATGTAACAATACCATATGTAACCGAGATGTTAATGTGATTAACACTACCTTCATGGATAAAAAAATTCCAGTCCACTTTCACCACATGGAAAAAAGCCACGGGTTCCATCTAAGATGGGTTTCAAATGGCATAAATGAGTAAATGATGACAGAATTTTCCCAAAACCTACTTGATTCTAGAGGAGGATGTGATGTCCCTGGAAGTCTTGGTGTATCTCTGTAGGAAAATTGAAACACAGGAAGAAAAAAATGTCAGATGACAGATCATTAGCTTCTCTCTCCGTCAGTTTTTCCACACACATAAACACAGACTGTCACTTGACAGCATTTTCCCTTTTGAGACATCATGGAAACACTGTCCAGTCGCAGGAAAGAATAGGGAACCAAAAGGGCCGCTGATGCAATGACTGAACAGTTTTAACTATGAGAGGAGGGTCTGGAGCATGTAGGGTGACAATGGGGACACTGGGAGGAATAACATTCTCAGATACTTTACTTACTGATATGCTCTATAGACCTTTTTCAAGAAGTTTTTGGACAGAATACGTTGAATACATCTTTAAAATGCAACAGGAAGAAAAATCATTGGAGTCACTCATATTTTTTCTTTTATATCATTTCCAACCATGGTTGATTTTTGTGCTTTGTTTAGCTTACCCAATTGGTCTGGACACAACTATTTCCACTTGTGGTGCTGACTGGGACTCTAGAATAATATTGTACACTTCCTTTTTTGTTGCTCCAGGCAAAGCCTTTCCATTCCACTGCAACACCTCATCGCCTGAAATAAAAAAAAAGAAACTATTTAGCACTTGGCGGTGTTCTGCGTGTTCAGACAGACTGACTGTATAATGAGCTGTGAAAAAATGTAGACATGCAACCAAAAATATCAACATAGATCTAAAAGACATTAATTAAGCTATGGTCGAAATTATATTTTAATATATTTTAAAATACTGCAATTTTCTTACATAGTTAGCCTAAATTAAATAATCATTATACCTGCTCGTAAATGCCCAACAATGTCAGCCAAACTTCCTTTCTTTACTTTAGTGATAAAGGCACCCAGTCTCCCTGACTCCGTCATTTTCCCACCAACCACCTGGACAGGACAGATGACAGAGTCAACCATGTTTACTCACAATCTGCAAAAAACAACCTAACTATTCTTAAGCTTCTTTACAAATTTCTTATGTAAAGTATGGCACTCTCCACACTAATGTTATAGGTTTGACTCCTAGAGAACACACAAACTGATAAACTGCTTTACTTGAATACACTGTAATGGCTGTTTCACATTGGAAACATAAGCTGGGCAGAAGAAGTGCAGAAACTGTGCATATTCAGAGTGGAAGCAGCATGCACCCATTATGCTTTCACACTGCAGTTTAAAGAGCATATTGCAAGTAAAAAAAAAAACAACTTAAATTTATAGATAACCTTGTATGAAAATACCATATGAAAAGTTAATGCAGGTTTTAAAATGTTTTAAAACAAAATAAGGACATTAATTTAGTAGATAAAGTGAGCGTTTCCTGGACTGATCGTAAAAGCAGTTTTTCAACATCGCGTCATTTTATGTCACGCTAGGGAGTCTCAGCCTTGGCTCAGTGCAGAGTAGGCTGGTATTCAGTGAGACCGGTTGTCAGTCAGTTTGCTTTCGGTAGTTTTTGTATTTTAATTTATCATTGTCATAGTAAATTATTGTGTTTGTGGAGATTGCAAAAACTCCGGCCTGTCAGAACGTCAAGATTAAGTCCACAAGTTTCCATTACAAGAACAGGGATGGTGATATAGCCTATCTTTTATTCCTGGTGCGGTTTGTGCAGGTGAAGAGACGGGATTTCTCTTCCGCATCGGCTTCTGAAAACGTGGTCGTGCGTAGCGTTCACTTCAGATCGAATGATTATCATCCTGGCGATATGATGGAGTTCAACATAGGATGCTGAAGCAAGAATATTGATCGTCGTATACTATACCAATGGCATCATATAGCTAGTCATGCCCTAAATAGAGGCAACTTGTAATTGAAAAACAAAAATACTCAAATCTATAATTTTCTGTTTATGTTATAACCCAGGTGAAAAATATTAAAAATGTACCTGTATGCTTTTAGTACAATAGAAATATACTCAAGTATAGTTTTTATACATTTAATAGTATAAATCTACCCCAAACTAATGTCTGCTGGCCTGTTATAGGATCATAATAATCTGTACAATATTGGGAGCATAGTGTATCGTTAGTGAACGTGTAGATCTAGAAGTACGTCTCTCACCAAAAGACACCTGTCCTGTTCTCCACTGGTTCTCCTCACACCACAACTCAGTTTGTCTCTGACCGTTCTGTCTAACATTATCCTGGGCTGCGTTTCCCAAAAGCATCGTAAGCCTAAGTTGATTGTAAAAATGATTGTACGAATGATCTTAATATTATGTTCTGCTTCCCAAAAGCAACATAACTTAAGTATCACTTGAAAATCTTCGTAGAACTACGAGTGCTCTGGAGTAATCGGACATCAGTTATGAGGTCACCTGCAGGACAACCGGCAGATTACTGGCCTGTCCCTGCTCTTGGCAGCATAGCAGGTTCATAACTTTATGGCTTGGTCCGTCATACGAGTATTTCCTCAGCGTCCGAAATGTCATTGCGATCCATTGTTTTCCTGTTGTTTGAATCGACCGCTCTCCCGCTCGTTGCGTCAAGCCCGCCACGCCCATTTTCAGACACGGAAGTAAAATTTTCTCACAAAAACGACTCCAGAAGCTTCTGTAGCGTATTTATAAGTATATTTTAAAATCTAGTTCCTACATTATTTTTCTATGTATTGACTTGTTTTGTCCTCTAACCTGCAATATGCCCTTTAACAATGGCTTCTGTACTGCAAATACAGACAAGTATCGTCCATTGTGCCACCTTTTGTCATTGTGTCATTTTAGAAGTATGTTAGTAAATGTAAAATAAGGGGAAAAAAAATATCAGGAGTATACAGACTTTTTAGTACCAGAACAAGAACAGTAAAAAAGCATACTTATGAATAAGATTGTAGAGATGAATTGCAAATGTTTCAATTGTTTCCATGTTCAATGAATTAAATATAACCTACATTTTTTATATTAAGACCACTATAAATTGTTAAAATAAAGAAATCTTTCAAACCCTGAGTTTGACTGCTTAAACACCACAGATCTTTTTTTTTAAAGTACAAATGGAGGAAAAGCTTGAAGGTCTTCAAGGAAAGATTTGGGAAAGTGTAGGGGAAGTAAAAAAAAAAAATGCAGGGATCTTGTAGGGTTCTGATTTGAATGCAACATACATAAATACATATGTATGTAAAAATCGGCAAAGCTGGAAATTATATTGCATCTGAATTTTTTTAATTCGTTTTAAATTTAAAAGAACATCATATTGTAACCACATCAATAATAGAACTACAATCATTTCATTTACTTCGTTATCATTATTCCTGTATTATTCATCATAATCTGCCACATCCTGCGCGATTTTGACCACGTGACCACATCTTTAGTGTAGCATAAACCTAAACTGCAATACAGAGACAATGCTATTAGCTGGTGTAAACTGTCATTGACAAGCTCACCTTCAGACCTAGTAGGGAACCGGCTTCTCGTGGCATGGTGGAGCGCTTACTTAGAGTGATGCGGCCAATCAAATGATCTCCCTCTTTGGATGGCTGCCAGCTCACTGGATGCTGTGAGGAACAGAACAATGCTTTTTTTTCAGTCCCATTACTGTTGAAAATACATGTACTGACACACATTTCAGAGAGTTCAGCTACAGAAAAACTGTAAGTTGTAATCAAACAACGTGTCTGCTATTATGCCCATTAGCACTGATAAATGTTTACAATATGATTAAAATCAAATTGAAATACTTACATGCCACACAGTGGGATCCAGAGGATGACAGTCCCAGTCACCTACTAAATATAAATTGACATTGTAATTATGGTTGGGAATCGAATTACAATTCCAATTCTACAATCAAAATACTTAAGGTCAGAAATCAGACACTTGTTATACAATTTAAATTTCGATTCCTCTTATCGATTCTTTTGTGTGCATTTTAAAATGACTTCAAACCATTCACGCCCTAGACCCGTGCGTTGTTTTCTGTGCTGCACACACATCCACAGAAAAAGTGATTTAATGTAGAATATTTTTAAACCATAGACTCATGTGCTGTTTTCTGTGCTGCGCACACATCCAAATTGACGTGAGAAATCTGCCTCTTATTCTAAATCATTTTTGTAACTATATTTGTAATGTACATTTTTTTCATAAAGTGCAGTGTTATTTTACTTTTGATTACAGTTTCCTGACAGGATGATTATCACGGGAAATTGCACACATGCGTCATATTTGCTAACATATATTATAATTACGTACATGTTTCATCAGAACTATAAATAGAGAAGTGTTACTTGGGATACTTTGACACGTGTATGTTGTGGGTGTGGCATAGTTTAGTTGACAGCGAACACGCTAAATCTCAAATCTCCGGTTATAATCCGTTTTAAACAAATGGCAAATTGAGGAGAGTCTCCTGACAAAAAGAGAGCATGACAGAGCAATAAAATGAGAATAAACAATGGCTTGGCTTTTTGGGGATGGCTAGAACTGAGTGATTTGAAATGTCTATTAATGGGTAAAGTTAAAGTAATGTCTTTAGCTATTTAGCTTGAGATCCTTTCCATCTAAACTGGTTATATCTCTTAAGCCTAGGAGTGAATGTTTTATGAGCAGTAGGATAATCTCTTGTCTCTTTTTTTAGTTAAAAAAGAACCATATTTATCCGCATAGTCAAACAGAGCCGAAGCACAACCAAAATGTTAACGTTAACCTGTTTTGTGAGAAATTATCCTCTTGAATTCTGAGATATATGTGTCTTTGCAAGTTCAAAGGTACAGATCCAGATAAGTTTGATCTTGACTCCTCCTTCAGGCTGCACACAAAGAAAATAATACACAGCAATACTAAGACTCTCAAACTAAATTGGATCATATTTACGTGTGTGTATTATAAAAGTCTTATTAATCTCACACTGCCTGTCAATCATTTTTGCTGATGTCAAATTGAATAAATGTCTTTACAGCTTAAGAAAAAATAACTGTGTTCAACAATTAAATTAAAGCGTAATTTTGACAGCCCTAATCAATACATGTTGTGGTTTAAGGCAAAGCATTTGACATTTACCATACAGGAATAGGGAATTCTTCCACTTAAGAAACAGTATGATAGTCTCATAAAGATTAGCTAGGTTTACACTAATGCTATAAATTAATAGAGTTTAGCTTAGGGATCGGCACATAACATCCGCCTTCAACAACAAAGGTGAGAGATGTTTAAAGTGCTAAAGCCCAAACAAGATAATATACGGCCTAGTATAACATTTTACAGTTTCATTTGATCATCTTGAATGCATTCCTAAAACTGTCGTACAACTTTAATGTATAGTACTATGCAGCACCCAAGAACACTCTCTGCACATACTAAATAAAATGTGCTATTCCCTTGGCAATCACTGAAATTATAAGCTTCCATCCAGTATTTACTTGTACTAGTTATCAAGAATTAAGTCACATTACATCTGCCATAACAAACTTAATGCCAAAGAAAATATATATTCATACTGCCCTACAAAGGCATTAGGCACACTCTTATTGGGTTTCTGTCCTGTGTTCTCAGCTATGCTATCTAGTGTTGGCATAGTTACTGTATTTGCCTGTTTTAGTACAGCATAGGAGGAGGTGACATGACATGAGGTGATAAAAAGAAGATGGGAAAATGGGATTGGAAAATTAACCATGTCCGATTGATGTTGGAGCATGTTTGACATGTTTGCACAAGGTAGCTTCAGAGTGGTTTTCAACTTCAGCTTAAAATAAACTCTCTTCAAACATATAATCTTTTCCACCACAATATAATTTCTACAGTGATTAATAGGATTTGTCAATGAAAATGACAGTGGATCCTGAATAAAATGGAAAACTAATTTGTCTTGCTAAGGCAGATTTCACACCTAGCTTTTTTTTGTATCATAAATGCACACAATGGAATCATATGTTCACCTTGTTTTGTACAAAACTGTTATTTAACAAAATTACAGCTTGATTTATCACAAACGTACCATGCCGGGGACTTTCAAAATCATGCACCCTTTGCAGCTGAGAAAAATGCATATCGCATTTAAAGGTACAACATATAAGAAATTTGTAATAAAATATAACAAAAAAACAAAATCACTTGCACAGTGTGATATATTTCCTGCAGTTGTGTACTTACAATATCCCAAAAGACTCCAAAGATTTTTTATTTCAGAGAAATTCCAATTTTAATTAAGTGGCCGTCCCGAAAAAATAAAAAAATAAAAAATTCGCCTGTCAATGACGTAATATCCACGCTACCCTCGGTTTCCATTCATACTGGCATACGCTGATTTCACGCAGCCGCCATTTTGAATCATAGGAGAGTCGCGAATGCGATGGCATATTGTTGTGTTTAATGTAGAAATTAGTTATTCCAAAAATGTATATATAATGTTTTATATACAATTCAGAACGTAAAAAAGAAGCAGGAACTAACTATATACATATCCTATATTGGGTATTAACATCCAATAGTGTAAATTGTGGCAGCAGCTTCAGGTTGGTAGTCCAAGGCATTGTTGTCTATCTGTACTTCTGGGACTCTTCCCACCGGAGCCTTTCGATTTCAAAATGGCGGCTGCGTGAAATCAGCTTATAGCCATTACATAACCATGGTGACAGACGTGGACAACTGCAAAGTGCGTAACGTTTAGCGGTACCTCAGAAGTTTAATTTGTCGAATAAACTGACCTGTGTGACTAATCCAGCACTTGCGGGTAGTTCGGTAAAATTAAATGTCCTTATTCCTTTATATCCGTGGGACTCATACCACTCATACTTCATACCACAGTAATGTTAAAAAACATGAATGTTTGCACTCATCCATAAACATTATTATATCCATCAGCTTGAGAGCAAGTCCCATCATTCAGCTCATCACTGCGTCATCAATCAAGGCCTTTGTTATTTTTGGAAACTGCGCCCTTTTGTGGTGAAAAAAATCTTACATATTGTGCCTTTAAAAGCTGGAATGTGTTACCCAAGGATGAATATGAAAAAGTCCTTAAATGAAATATGCTGCATCCCAGAACTGACGCAGGCCAGTCAGTCACTCAGTGGTTTTATGTGAGAGAGCTGCTGACCTAATTCCCAAATCTGGTTCCCTTAAAATTTTCCAAATAAACAAATACAGCTTCACTGGGGGTAGCGGGGGTTTCACATATCTAAGGCTTAGGACTGATCATTATGGCTGTTCAACAGCTACAATGACATATGTACTGTAGAATTATGCTCTATATGGCCTTGATGTGAAAATGTATGCACAAGTAATACTTATAAACCATTTATTTAAAAAATAAATAAATGAGATTTTGTAGTGTAGTGTATTTTTTAGAGAATTTGAGACTACAGTTTGAAAATAAATTTAGCAATACAAAGGTCATGCACCTACCTTTTTCACTAACACTTTCGATCTCCACATCCTCACAGCTGGTGTATTCAGGAGTGGAGCCACCCTCTTCTTCAGAACTACTGATGGACATCTGCCTTTTGTTGAGGCCTCGTTTGGGTCTATAGGCTCGTGGTGGAGGTGGCCGCAGAGTCTCCGATTGGTCCGAGCTAAGAGATGAATCTTTACGCATGATTTCTGCAGCCTTTTCTCGCTTAGCCCTGTGCAGAAAAGCTGCGGACCCAGGTTCCAGATGCCCCTTTGGGCCCCAGTCCTGTCCGTCCCTGAGGTCTGGGGGCCCGGAAGGCCCCATGTGAGGGATACCGTGGCCCTGTTTAGTGCCGGATCCTTGTACAACAACACCACCCCCCACGGTCCTATCCATAGAATAAGCTCGATGGTTCTCTAAAAGGGTCTTGCGGTCGTCGTTAGCTACTCGATGCCTGCTAATTCTATTTCCAGCAGCCTCGACCCCATCTTGGATCAATCCCACTTCGTTGATGGCTAGATCGCTGTGATGACGCTCCTGACGCATTTTGGACACTTTGGCATGCATACGCATTTCCTGTTCCTCCTTCTGCGGTTTAACGGGGTAGCGGGCTAGGTTCGGGTCACTGCGGTAACGGGTCTGGTATTCTTCTTCTCGTCTTTGTCGCTCTCGCTCTTCCTCCTCTTGCCTCCTTCGCCGCTCAGGATGGGTGGGATCATCCTCTGGATATTCTTGTGAGTGCCCTTTCTCCAATCGTCTGCTGTCTCGCTTCTCACCTGGAGCTCGATCTTCAGAGCCCTGCGATGACAACCTGCCTGGTCCACGTCTTCTCTCTCCACGTCCAATCACCTTTCCATTCTGCTCGTGTAGGGACACGGGTCTCTTCCTATTATTGATTGGACAGAAGTAGGTAAGACTTTGAGATTTAGCATTTGGAATTTCCAAGTACCAAAGCCAATTTGCATTTACAACTGCTACAATAGTAGTTATTTGAATAATACATAGCTCAACACCTGTTTGGGAATTCAAATGCATAAATGATTTAGCTGAAAATGACAGGAAATATACGTCATTTGTTTTAAAGAGATAATAAGGCAGGAGCTGCAGTCCACATAGTGCCAGTTGAAAAGAGGTCAGAATGAACAGATTTTGTTGAAATGTCCAGTTTAAAATAGAATAAATTGTATGTTGACTGTAAGGATATGTAACACCACATATTTTGTATATTCAGTTCTGGGAAGTGGAAACCCAATGGCCAGTGGACTAGGATAACTAGGATAGTTTCACATTACCCTGGAAATACTTCGAATTTTACAATGTCATCTTAAAAATAATTCATTGTAAAAGTAATTCATACCCGAGAAGAAAGAAAGAGAAAAAAAAATTGAGTGCTTTGATCCTAGGCTTATAGGGCCCTATTTTAACGATCTGAAACGCAAGTGTCAAAGCGCAAGTAACTTTGTGGGCGGGTCCCGGCGCTGTTGCTATTTTCCCGGCGGGATAAATGCCTCTTGCGCCTGGTGCAAATCTAAAAGAGGTTGGTCTGAAGTAGCTTCATTATTCATAGGTGTGGTTTGGGCGTAACATGAAATAAACCAATCAGAGCGTCATCCAACATACCCTTTAAGAACAGGTGCGCATGTTGCATGACGGATTGTTATAACGGCGGGTTTACCAGGCGCGCGCCAGGAGCGTTCACAGCCAATGAGACCGACGTTCTTGTCAGGGCAGTAAAAGAGAGAAGTGACGTTGTATGGGGATGGGAGAAACCCTCACACATTAGCGTCGGTTAAACATTATATACGTATGTTTCTTGCCACTATTGAGCAAACAGGTCTACAATTAGCCTTAAAGAATGGGTAATAAGGTTTTTTAATCTTCATGTAAACCACAATGATTTCCCTCATGTTTTAATATTTTTCCTTGTTATAATGTATGATTTGCAAAAATAAAAACTGCTGCATCTGTGTTGATGAGAGAATCAAAGTCTGTGCACCCGCTACATTATAGCATTGTGAACAACGCGCAACGCGCCACTGACTTTAGACCAGGTTTTTTCTGGTCAGTGGTGGAATTGTTTTCTGGAAGTGTAAAATAGCACCAGGGAATGTTTGCGCCAAAACACGCCTCCTTTTTGCGCCGATCCACCCAGGGAGCGCAAGTTCATTTCCTAGTTTACCGATGTGCGTCTGTGGAGGGAAAAATCCCGCTTTGCGCGCGTGCAAAATAGGAATGATACATGCGTTTGAGTATAAAGTCATTTGCGCCGGGTGCAAGATAGAGCCCATAAAGAGACACAATCTCTTTACATTATTAACTTTTTAAGGCTTTTGAATTTTGAATTATTTATTTATTTATTATTTAAAATTGAATAAAAGCCTTGTAATTAAAGTACATTTTGTAATTTCATAAAACACATTTGTTGCGTTAGTTTAACTGACTTCTAACTAGTCTGTGTTTAATACATTAAAGCTGCAGTCCGCAATTTTTCCTCTTTGTCTCTGTTCGAAATCTGCAATTGCAGTTATTCACGGAATTATCAACTTTACGTGAGTTGTACTTGGACACGGCACAGCGCGGATGAACACAAATTTGAGGAGAGTGTGCAGCTGTCAGTAACCGTGCCGGTGTGGATACTGGCATTCAGAATCACAGATTATTATTTTTGGAAGTATGACCAACATAATAACTTTCACCAGAAAATGTCATCTGTACAAGTAAGTAACCACTTTTGTTCTGGTTCTGGCATTGCAGTAAATCATGCTGATTAAATCTAAAAATCGCTTATCATGCAAAACTGTGCAAATTATACTTTGTTCTCAAATTGTTAATGTCATTATTGTTAATGTCAACATCAGCATTGTGTGACTACATGTAATGTCTTTCCGATATCTATCCTTGTTTTCGCATGGGTTCGCTTGAGGTCTATTTTTTTAGCCACTCCTAAGTCCGAACAAAGTCTTTTGCATTTTACAACAGGTGAATCTGTTGTCACTGGTGATTGTCGTTTAAACCTTTCTGGATCTGCCATCAAATTGATGTTTAATTATTTCAAGTGCTGTAAATCTCCACCTCCAGTATCCTCACACTCATAGCCTACTAGCCGAGATTCCTTCTTTATGTGTACAAATGTGACGTAATGACGTAAAGACATGCTCAAATCTCCTGCGGAATGCTTATGTATTTTCTCAAATATGTATTTTGGATCATTTTTAACCCCAAAAAAGCTATAGACTGCAACTTTAAGTTAACAAAATAACATGTTCTATATTATAGCTGTATATTACGTTGATGCACTTTGATAACAAAATACTTCCTAAAATGTAACACTGAAAAAAGCATTTTCTGTAAAACTGCTTTGAAACTATATTTATTGTGTAAAGCGCTATACAACTAAACTTGAATTGGATACTATTGTTTAGTGTTTCCAAATATGCAATGCTCATGCAGCACAGGGGTGGCCAAACCTGCTCAAGGAGTGCTAACATTCTGCAGAGTTTAGGTCCAAATTGCCCTAATATACTTGCCTGGATGTTTCAAGTCAGTCTGAAGAGCTTGAATCCAGGTCCAGATGTGTTTACCTAAAGTTGGAGCTAAAACTCTGCAGGACAGTGGCCCTCCAGGGATATGTTTGGACACCCCTGCAGTATCACAAGATGCTTAAAGGCACACTAGGGGTGGAGCTGAACCTGAATATACTTAAACCTACAAATACTTATTTCGAACAAATACTTGAAAAAATATTTGTATTTGGGAACATCAAAAAGCTGTGCATGCCCACATGAGTGAGTTAGAGTGAGTGAGTGACACAGGCTGTTCCACACCTCAACAGAGAGGGCTCGGCTGAGCGAAAAAACTGTATAAAAAATAGCATCACTATTTTTTGTTGAATAGATTTTTGTTCCTTAACTGGGTTCCGGAGGTAGTTTATAACTTCCGGGAAGTGGAGTTTGATCAGGAGATTATTCCATTCGCTGCATTATTGACTTCTGCAGTCGGGTGCTCTCGTGTTTGCTCTGTTTACGTAGCTCTGTTAGCTCTGTAATTGTTTTCATTACATGGCTTGGTTGAATTCTAATGTAGAATGCGGTCTGTTATTTTCATAGTTATTTCTTAATAAGAGCTAACACACCGTTGCCATGAAAAACTGAGCATTGCCATGGATTCTAAATGTAGAGACATAACGGACGGTAACACTTTACTTGAAGGGGTGTGCATAAAACTAACATGACACCTTAATAATCATGACATGACTCATGTTATGAATATGAAGGAAGATTTATGCATGTTTATGACAACTGTCAAGTGTCATTGGCTCAATTATGACATTTTTAATGCAAATATGACATTGTTTGAGATGTCTTTGTTATGACACCTTGACATAAACCAATAGCAGATTAATTATCAAACTTAAGAAAGCACCTAGCTGTCAGGTGGTTGGTTTTGACATTGGCTGTCATGAAGCCATTATAACATTTTAATGAAAAATTCAATTTGTACCACTGTAGTTGAGGACACGAAAAAAATTCATGACACAGTTATAATTAGGGTTGGGTATCGTTTGAATTTGAACGATTCTGATTCCGATTCCGATTCCTTGTTTCGATTCCGGTTCCTAACGATTCTCGATTGCGATTCTTTTAAGACGCAGGGTCAAAAAAGTTTAGCTAACCTTGCTAACCAACGGCCTTTCTGAAGGAAATACTCCTTCTGTAAAAATACTACTTTTGTCACAAATTTTGCATTTTGCCGAGATTTCGTTATTTTTAGAAAAGTGAAGCCACACTTTGGATCGCCGACGTAAGGTACTCATGTTCGACTCGCGTGGTTATGCCAACACTTCCGGTAGACGCTTCTTCGTTGGTGTTGTTCAGCTGTTTCTTCTTCTGCTCAGCGGACTGTGAATATCGAAACTAGGAATCGAAATTTTAACTTTTGAACGATTCCGGGAAAAACTAAAAGTTAGTCTCGGTTCCAATCGATACTCGATTCTCGATACCCAACCCTAGTTATAATGCTCTCATAACAGCCAATGTCAAAGCCAACCACATGCAGTTTAACTTAATTTAATGTCAAGTTGTCATGACAAAGACATTGACAGGTTATGATTTTATGCTTTATGTCAAGATGTCATAACAAAGACATCATAAACAATGTCACATTTGCATTCCAAATGTCATTATTGAGCGAAAGACACTTAATGACAGTTGTCATAAACATGGATAAACCCTACTTCACATTCATGACATATGTCATGCCATGGTTATGAAGGTGTCATGCCAGTCTTATGCACACCCCATCAAGTAAAGTGTTACCTTTGAGTCCTCGCTGAAGTTTGATAAACAGATAAAAACTGTGGTTCGGAACTGCTTTTTTTTTTTATCTCAGGACAATACCCAAATTAAAATTTAAGATTCTCTCAACATGTGATTTGGAAGATGTAACTCATGCTTTAATCTTCTAAATTTTATAGATTACTGCAATTCCATTTACCTTGGGACTTGTCATTCGCTTATCACACGTCTCCAGTTAGTTCAAAATCCTGCTGTAAGATTGCTTATGAATTCTCCTCTGTTATCCTCATTGGGCTGGTTACAGTACAATATAGGATTCATTACAAGACTTTACAATATGTTTTTAAAGCAGTTTATGATATGGCTCCAGAATACTTGGTGGAGCTTATTAAGCTTTATAAGGCAAATATATCACTAAGTTCCTAAAATAAGCTCCTGTTACCTATCCCACGAGTACGTCTTCCAAGGGTGATCGTGCTTTCGCAGTTACTGGTCCGAGATTATGGAACGACCTACCCCTTTTTGTTAGATCTTCCCCAACAAATACATTTTTGTAGGTTTCATCTAAAGTATCACTTATCTCTTGCATTTTAAGTCACTCTTTTAATGGGTGTTGTACTTTTTATTGTTTATCTTGTTTTTTTTGATTTCGATCATTTGTTATGAAGAGCTGTTTTGATTTAGATAATTTGTAATGTACAACACTTTGGAGCTACTGTATAGCCTGTAAGGTGCTTTATAAATGAATAAACACAAATACAAATACCAATAAATATGTACTATTGCACATCATACTTCATTTTGATCAGTAGGGCCACTGAGATATATATCTTAGGACTGGCATGTGTGTAAACATTTTTGGCCTACTTGTCTCGTGGTGGTTCACTGCGGGAGCGTGAGGCGGGCATTGTATCTGCTCCCTTGGTGGGGTCACCAGGACCAGCGTTGGGTGGCAGAGTGCTGTTAGTGGCCAGAGCCTGGGATCTGGAGCGCAACCTCCTGTCCTTCTCCAACTCGGGGACACTGAGAGGAGCACCCACACTAAGAGGCCTAGCCCCAGGGCCTGATGAAAACCATTCTCCTGATTTAGTTAGAATTTCCTGCTGTTTCCTGCACAGGTTACATACCCACATCACCTGCATAGATAAATAGTAGTGTTATTATGGGAGGCAGCGATTGATGATCATTGTAAATTATCAAGATGTACAGTACAGCTAATACTTGAATTAAATTATGTTATTCTTTTACAGTTTTAAAGGCATTAAAACGAAGAGACAGACATATATATATAGATAATCACATAACATACAGTACATACACACATTCACACTTTAAAAAAACATCAAACACTGGACTTTTATTATATATTTAGCCAGCACAAATTCAATATAGTAATTTCAAGGAAGGAATAGAAACTGACAATGTTGAGCAGGTGTAAATATGAGCTGCGAAATTATTCAAGCGATTCAAGTCAACTAGACTAAACAATCAAACTCTATCAGCTATAAAACACTTATTTTAAATTTCATCGTCTCATACACTTGCTGGACTGCACTAATTGGTGGCTATATTTTGAAAAGTGATTCAAAGATTGCAGATCTAGTAGGGCTGCCCTCTAATAGTCTGCCAAATCATGTTAGTCAATGAAAAGAGGCTTAGTCGACCAAATTTTTATTAGACAGTTAGTAAAAAAAAAAAAACTCCACACGGCCTTGTTTACACTGTCAGTGAAATGTGACCCAATTCCGTTTTTTTTTTTTTGCTCATATGTGACAGATCGAATGTGTTCGTCAGTGTAAGCAGGAAAAATACCCATGCATTCAGATATTTCGAGATCGTTTTCATGCCTTGTTATGTGGAAATAAATCAGATATGTGTCAATGCAACTGTCATGTAAACAGGCATATCGGATTTTCTGACGCATTATGCTACGTATCCATGTTTTGATGCAACCCCAACACGCATCTGCGAAGGGACGGAATGGCCCGCAAAACGTTGTGGAGACACGTTGACACAACAAAGGCTAGCTTGCTCATCCTAGAATTCCAAGAATCCCCAGTACAAGCATTCAAAGTAGCCTACCTGAAGACCTCATTGAAAACAATTCAAAGTTCTGAATTTCTGTTTTTTTTTTTTTTAAATAGATCCAAATAATGAAAGAAATTAACATCAGGTGTAAGCTAATCAATCAGTCACCTTGAACCACCCTTAGGGCATAACCTGCCAACACTCCAGTTTTTCCCAGGTTTCTCCCATTTTTCAGCCCTATCTCCCGGACCCCTCCCAGTTTGTTTTTTGTCCCGGGAAACTCCCGTAATTTGCATGGCTAATTACCAATATGTACCAAAGACCAATTTAATACAAAGACCAATTTAATACAATACTTGTATTAAATGCATTATATTTACACACTCCACACACCATATACAATTTCAACCCATTTGTCATCTCAACCTGGCAACCTTTAACCCAGTTGGACACTTGCGGAAAGCTTAACCCGAAAGCGAACACCATTGTGAAATTTTGATTGTCTCAAGAAAGACCAAGACCTATATATGATCATATAACACCGATTTTATCATCTCTACACTGGTTACCTATTAAGTTCCATCAATTACAAATACTACTACTGACCTATAAAGCCCTAAATGGGTTTAGCTCCTGTGTATTTAATGGACCTTCTATCACCCTACAATCCATCGCGTTCTTCAAGATCACTAAATTCGAGGCTTCTGGTCATTCCTAGGATATCTAAGTCCACCAAAGGAGGGAGGGCGTTCTCGGAATTAGCTCCTAAACTCTGCAATAGCCTTCCTGATATTGTCCGAGGCTCAGATTCGCTGTCCCAGTTTAAAACTAGATTAAAGACGCATCTCTTTAGCCAAGCAATAGGGATGCACCGATACCGATACCAGTATCGGGTATCGGGCCCGATACCAAGCTCATGTACTTGTACTCGTACTCGTAAAAATACCCCGATACCAAAGACCGATACCTCACGCGACGTAACTGACAGAACTTTCCAGTGCACACAGAGACACCAGATGCAATGTCAGCCTCAGCAGTGTGGAAATATTTTCAAAATCAATGATGACGACCCACGCATGGCAATCTGCACGATTATTTCTGCATTAATATCCAGAGTAGGGCTGCACGTTTTCAAGTTTTTCATTAACCGTTAATACTCGGTTAACCATAGTGTGAGCGCTGCAACGTCGAGATACAGAGTTAATTTTTAAAACCTTAATAACTGGTTGGACCCCATTTGAACGAATTAATTTTATAGAAATAAAACGCAGTGATAAGTACAGAGCAGTAAAGTAGGCACATTTCCATCACCATTCAAACTGAAATTGCCAATTGAAAATAGCCTACAGAAACAAGTCCATTTCGCAAAAAACTCAGTGTCCGCAAATAAATATTTATGATCATCATCAATTATTGTAACATTTTATTAGGCTGCATATGTAGACGCCTTTATCCAAAAAAGGATCAAAGCACAAATAAACACAATATTTGACGCATATCCAGTGTTTGTGCTTAGTGTGGAGCGTGCACTGATGGCTGCGAGACGCCCATGTGAAACACTTGCAGTTTCATTGCAGTTCTTTCAGTGGGAAACAACTTAAAATACTCTTTGATTTCTGGTCATACAGAAAATAATAATACATTATTGACAAATACATTTATTTGCGTAAACTCACAATAACAAGAAAACGAT